CTTGTGCCAGCTTGACTGCTGAAGCAACTCTGAGAGTTCCCTGCCCCCTCTATCCACTGCAGCAGTCTGCAGTGGGGGCTGCTGCCTGGCTGTGACCTGCTGTGAACCTGCCAGACCCAGATGGGGACTGTACAGCCAGTGAACTGTGGTTGCAGGGTTAGCCTCTGAGTGGCACTACTACCACATGTGCCCCCTGCCTTTCCACCTAGGCAGCTACTGCCCAAAATATGTTCCGGGTGTGGTGGCCTGTTTTGAACTGTCAAAGCATGTCCTCCTGGCCCCATTTGGCCAGGATGTCAGCCACAGCCAGCTGGGTCCAAGGTGCCAGCTCTGAGCAGGCAGGGTCCTGCCACTGGCCTCCCTATTCCTAGCAGGAATTCTGGTGTTCCCTATTGGAAAACTGAAAAATCCCTGATAAAAAAAATTCCAAAGTCACTCTGTAAAATACCCCCAAATCCATGTTCCTCCACAAGTAAAACACAAGACCTCTGTAAGGAGAGCGAGATAGTGAGAGAGAGAGTGATCAGTTGGACAATGTTTTATTGATATATCTACATTGTTAAAGCATGTCTCTTATCATAATAATAAACTGAACTCTAAATACATGTTTCATGAATTCATGAATATGTATTTTACTGCCCTCCCACAGGAGCAATGGCTGCCCAACAAGGGATTCACCCCCCCAACAGGGGGTTCGGCCCCCACACAAGGGCTACAGCCCCCCAGCAGGGGATTCAGCCTCCACACAAGAGGTACAGCCCCCTAACAGGGGCCAAATGGCCCCCTCAGGGGCCACCACCCCCACACAAGGCCCACATGCCCCACCCCAGCCCCCCCGATTGCTGCCCCACCTGGTCCCATCCCCCACCAGCTGCTGCAGCACTTGAACAGATTTGTTGGGCTTGGTCTGGCTCAAAGCCTTAGTCCAGGTGTGGTCCCAAACCAGACATGTCACAAGAGCCCAGTATCCCACTCACCTCAAATTTTAAACACAATTTGTTTTTTTGTGATGCTGACACTTAAATGGAAAGTATTGTTACTGATCTTCGGGGGAAAAAACATTGAAGTGTGACCCGATGAGCTATTTTTTAAATTTAACCTAGTGTAAACAAACCACTATTGTTGTCTTGCTCCCCAGGGTTAAATGATTTGTAATTTTTTAAAAAGAAAAACTGTAAGTAACTTGGCTCAGCATTTGTTTATTTCTTACTTCAGCTTCTGCTTTGTGCCTATTAAATTTGCTGAAACATGAAGAAACAAAATTTCAAGTTCCTTGAGGGACAGGATGGAAACTAGGATGGCATAACCTAGCAAACAGAATGCTACATTGTCTTATGCTGTGGGTACTGCTGAGATACTTTAGCAAAGGAAAAGGACTAGGCTGTTGGGCTGCTCCCATCTATATCTTGATTGCATGGGTGCTCAGCACTTTTGTGGGTTACGATGTGGGGTAGGAAGTATATAAATGAAAGCAGAAGAATGACTTGAAGATGGCAAAGAGTTAGGATGTTAAAAGTAGCCAAGAAAGGGAATAAGAAGCATATATAGGCAGGGCCATGTAGAGCTATTTAACATAGTTCTGAATGAGCTAGCCTGGATTCCAGAACCAATACCTCTCTGCTGGTACAGCGTTCCAGATAGGATCATTAGGCCTGCTGATAAGATAATTAGCTCAGGTGAAGCACTGCACTAACTCATCCATGCTACTTCTGATACCAAATCTAGTTTATTCAGAGCTATCACAGATACCCCTAAAGAGCCTTGTGCTGTATCATGTTAAAATATTCAAAGAGGCAAGAAAAGGCACGTATGTGGGCGCCAAGCTGCAGATAGCACCATAGGCAAACACCAGGAGTTTCACTGGGTCAGGTCCTAGTATTTGCCCATGGAATGTCCCCCCACTAGTTGTTTAGGAGTGTTGCTCAACACTGTGGACAGCAGAAGACTGCCTTGAAAAAGGACAACTTTTTCCAGCTGATTATCAAGTGGATTTGAGAGAAATCCTGTTTATCAGCCTGAAGAGTCAATATGGGGATGGAAAAGCAGATGGAAATTAGATGAGTAGTATTAAAGCTATTAAAAAGGTGTGACTTATATGCCCTATAAAAACCATAATTTTTTATAAATGCTTATTGTTAAACACTTACCTCTGCAATAACGTCCATCAGATGCTAACTGGAAACCAGGTTTACAAATGCATTTAAAGCTGCCATCCTCATTGATACACATTCCATTAAGGCACATGTTCCTTATGCTACATTCATCCATATCTGAAATTGCATACAATGGATACAAATGTTCACACTGAAAAACTAGTAAGAGCTTCCACTAATTGTATCCTCAAAATAATCAATCAAACCAAGCTATTATGTGGTTGTCAACATATAGGAGGACACTTAAAGGTGCCCCACAGAAACTACTGACTTGTAACAACAAATCCTTAACACATCAAGAAATATGTTTAAAAGCACTAAATGGCATAAAAAAAAGACATCCAGAATCTGGCAATTCTTGAAATAGTCCCATGGCAAAACCTTTAGGAGAGTGAAGAGGATATGACCAGAGGCAGCCTCCATATAGAATGGCAATATTAATTTGATGTTACCTAGAATACTGCACAGTTGTGAAAGATGAGGGTTGTGTAAGAAATGAAAATTTCTCTAACCATTCTTGGAACGTACTATACAGGTTTCCTGATACAGTTGTCACACCCGTACAGGGAAATCCAGGGAGCCTTTCTTCAGACATTACTATTTTGGGTACCAACTCCTATTTAAAATAAAATGATCACTTCTCTATATTTAGATGACAGAGTTGCCTATTAGGGCCCCATGCAGGTAAAGGCGTGATGAGATCTAAAGCACACAATCACACCTCCTGCAATACTGCTCTTCCTATCATGCTATTAATTGAACATGTGCCTAGGAGCCCCATCAGGGCTGAGTGGAACTCCCAGCTAAGGGGGCCCATGTGCACCCCCCAACCTGGGGGCTCTCAGCTAACAAGGCTCCTAGCCATGGGGAGGCATGCTCCCCCATGGTTGGGAAATTGCAGCCGCTGTGGTCTTCCAGCTGAGGGAGTACCCAGAGCTAGGAGTCAACATCAGCTGGGAGCTCCCAGGGTTGGGGGTGCACACAAGCCGCCATAGCAGGGAGCTCCAATCAGCTGATGGTGCTCCCAGTGAAAACATCCCCTGGCCACATAATCCTCCAACATATTTCTCCTTTTTCACACCATTAATTGATTGAACATATGGCCAGGTGACCACTTAAACTGTGATTAGATTAACTGGTTAATCACACCTTAAGTGTAATGTGTAGATGGGCCTCGCAGTACTTGTTGGCTAACCACAGAGTTGCACTGGCATTGTATACCCTTTGTGACCAAGTTGCATGGCATGGAAAATTTTTAAAAACTCAAACGTAATGTTACAGGCTTCAGTTCACTGGTTTCTTACATTTTGTTCAAAATGTTCTTGCTCTACCCTCACTGTACTTGACCTGCATGGCTATGAGTAAGTGCACAGAACAAGGGACAACAAAGAACTGGGTCCTTGAAATATATCAAAAGCCAGGACTTGACACCAGTTTCATTTGAAGTTATATACAATGCAAGCCAACACTGCACAGACCCAGCACAAAGTCTACATGCGGTAGTTCAAGAACCCAAAGCAGTGTAGCCAGGTTGGTGTGGTACTGAACGAAGGTTAGTAAATAATCCTGAGAAAGCTACATTATGGTCTCCCACACACATTCACAACTCCCACTGTCTTTAACGAGTGACAAGTGTGTGAGTGCATGCACAGTCTCAGGAGAAAAAATTGACCTATTACTTTGCAACAGATGCAATAATTTGAGAAGCTGATGAAACGGAAGATGCTCAGAGACATTCTGGCAACATGCCCAATGGAATTAAAAATGTTTTGCCAGATTGCTCTGTAACCAGCACTGGTTCTTACAACTAGCACATGATATTTGATGGGAAAGGAAGAAGTTAGAATGGGGGTAATGACTGATTTCCAGGTATATTTAAGTGATATAGTTACATAATTTGATGCTTAAATAAGAAGTCCACACTGTTAAACCATACCTAAAAGTGGTAGGAAAATGAGAGTCCTAAAATGTCTGTCTTTACCAAGGATTAATGTAAGTGCTACTAACACATAAAAATCACTGGATAATAATGACATTACAATATATTCAGAATCATGCTATTTTCCTTAACATTACAGCTGGCTTGGACAGAAATTACACTTCTAGACATGGTGTGTTTTCTTTTTACTTACAGGCTAAGTCAGACAAAAATAATTTATGATTTTTTTTAAAAAAAATCATGCATGTATCCCAACCAGGAATTTTGGCATTAAGTCTTTGAGCTGAATCACTGAGATAATATTCTGCCAAAAATGTTTCTAAGAACAGTGCTTCAAATTCTTTTAACGTATGAATAGATCATTGGGAACTGTCCCAAGGAACTTGGGAAGCATGATAAAGAACATTCTTCATTCTTTTCCTTTGCTAAAAGTCTAGGAGGTAGGAACCCATCAAATACATTTACAATTCTTTAAAAAAAAAATTTTTAGGGGTCAAACCAAACAAGATTCACATAAATCACACTGCTAGTCACCAAGTAAGATCCTATAAAGCACACTGTTAAACACACAGTAAGATCATGCAGCATGCGACTTGTGCTTTGCTCTGAAATGTCCCATTGCCATCAAAGAAACTACATTTTGCGATAGTGGTATGTGATAATTTGCTTGCTGGACAAGTATTCTACTGCAAATTGGCTGCAAAAGATGGGTTTTTTGCCTGCCCAAATACAGGAAAAGGTATTTAGAAATTTGGTTCCCAGTTCCTTCTCCTCCCACAAACAAAATCTTTTAATGTTTATTAAAATGAGTAACCACTTGAAACTACAATTACCAGTATGGAATAACTTCAGAAACTCTTACCTTCACAGTTTTTCCCATCAGCTGCCACTTGAAAGCCAGCATTACAAACACAGTGAAAGCTGCCATCTGTGTTTATGCACCGTCCATTATTACAGATCCGACCGTTCTGTACACATTCATCAATATCTAAAAGCCAAGCAAAAAAACCCCAAAAATTTCAAGTGTGCTTTTTTTCCCTTTTGTTTTATTTAATCTTTCCTTCCCTCACTTTCTTGACACCATGTACAAACTATTTTTGCCTAAAAAGCCTGTTTTGATTTGCATACCTAAATGTTCGGGAGTCTGAAAGAAATTCCAAATTTGCTGTAGGAACTAAGCCTTAGTTCAGAGACTGTTAGACTATAACCAGGCTCCTTCTGGCTGTCTATACCTGGATTTCTGCAATCCAGTTTTAAAGTTATTAAAAATGAAATATTAAAAAGGGTTTGGCTTTTGATGTTGCTTTATGATATAGGAAGATAGTGAAGAATTTTAAGCCTTTCCCACCCAAAGAATATACTTTCTGCTTATTTATAAATTTGAAACATCATATACTCATTTCCCTTTCTCTGCAGGAGACCCCTGGCAAGATCTTTGGAGGACCTGAATAGTGATATCACATAAGGCTGGCAGATCTCCCTCTCCCCCAAATGAAATGAAAAGAGATGCTGAGACAGACTGTCTAGACATTTTTTTAGCTTGCTGCTTCTTCATCAAGGGCTGGATCACCTCCCAGAGATTCTGTCTCACTGGGGATTCTGTACACAAAGATCTCAACCAGTCCAGCCAGATGCCTCCTCTTTCGCTTCATACTTTCTCAAAGGCACTGCAGACGCCCTTCTACAGGTGTTCTGCATAGAAGGTACACTGCTGCAGACTGGGGTGGAGCAGAGGACAGGCTGTACTCCAGCACTGTCTCCTAATAACCATGTGGATAGCCGAGGGTGAAATAATGCTGCTTGAAAGAGGATTTTACAATAACGAACTCTTCCCACTTTCTGCCATCAGTCCTACACCTTATAGTTCTTGCGCGAGTTTGGAAAACCACCCTCAGATAATTGATAGGAGGGTTTTTTGCCATGTGGACCCCTAGCACCCTGGGATGGGCAAGGATTTGTTTTTACTGGACCAATAACATAGTTGGGCGTTAGACAAGCTTTCAAAATGTAAGACTTCTTCCTCGAGTAGTAGCATGTAAAATGGCTGCTCATAAAGACCTTCAATTCCCTCTGAATCATGGTGCAGAAAGTTATCAGTGAATTTCTGCTGTTAGTAATCTGTATAAGGAGTTAGCCGACAGAAGCTCCCATGAGAGCTGCCTTGCACCTGAAAGCGGCTATGCATTTTCCTTAACTTCTGCCATCTCCATGTGTGGTCCATTGCCTCTCACCCTTTGAAAGGATATGTAACAACGTGAAGACATTAAATAGCCAGGCCTTGACTGACTCCCAGATCTCTTCACTTTCTATGGTTACTGCTCATAGCATCTTACATTTTTAAGGGCTCTTTAACTTGCTTCTTTTCAGTGAATAGGATTCTTTTGTTTTTATTCAATAATAGTGAAGGCGTCAGCTTTATTTCTGAGAATCCTTCTTTTGGGCCCAAATCTAAGATTGTACTAAGAATGTACTTAGCCAAACTGCTTCTGGGAATCTGGCTGAATAATTGTTGAGTAATTACCTTGAGAACTGGCCTGGTGTGTTTAGTCAGTTATACAATCATCCGTGGAAGAACATCCCCATGGTACATTAGAACTGAGCATCTCTGAATTGTCTTGTAATTGTTTAGGACTCAGTCTTCTAGAAGGGGAACCATGGGCATCCCCTCTAAATACGTGCCTGCACAAATGTACTTTTATGTATACAGAAGACATGCTTGTGTCCTTACGCAAAGCAGGCACTTGTGTATGCAACTGCCCAGTCTACATGTGTAAATGCCAGTTTTGGAAAACATACCAGGAGTGCGCACACTTTGGCAGACATACCGCTACACTCCTTTTTCCAATACCTGGCCCACTTCATGAAGAAATCATCCTGCATGTCTTAACATGTATTAATACTACAACTAGCTGGATTACAAAGGCACTGGTAAGTGACCACACTCTAATTCTAATGGCCACCAGTGTTTTTGACAGCCTTGTGTTTGTTTAATGAATCATGGTCAGTCTAATTAAAGGAGCATGACAAATATGACTTATGAATAAATTCGTCACCCTTGAAGTCCCACTTCAACATTGCTTCATTACTGGTTTCTGGAGTACCATGAAGTACAGTTTGGCAGACACTTAGGTCAGATATTCCTATACGTGTGTATCACTGGCTCTAACTGCAAGCCCTGCAGTGCTGCAGACAGCTCTTGTACTGCTGCTGTCTTTTTGATTCAGAAAGGAATAATCATAAAGCATTCCTGGTGGTTTCTTTTTTCTGGCTCTATGGCAATGGGGCATGTGGGCATGAGCTCCCCACTTCCTCCAATGCTGGTGCTGCTTGCAGATGTTTTCTCTGGGCTTTGTTTTTTAATTCTTTACTTCCATCTCTGATCCTCCTAATCCCATAGGGATTTGCAATTTTGCTTTCCTTTGAGTGTCCTATAATATTTAACTAAACAGAAAAGCCCCAAATTACTTCTTCTGGAGGCTCATATTTATAAGGGTGTTAACAGGGTGTGAACATCCACTTCTGACCTCATTAAGAGTTACAGTTCATCCATGGCCCATGGCAATAAATTTCTACTTTTGTGGCCACTGTTTCTGGTGTTTATCTTCATATGTTCCACCGGTATTCCTTGTTGTACTAAACAGCAAGCAGTAATTTCCAGGCTTCCATCAGGGGTTGGTTTTGGCCTAGCCATGATAATTTTGTGAGACAGGAAGACGGACACTTAATTCTGCCCTCTCATATCAGTGTACAATGTTCACTTTAACAACAATTACTGCTGCCTTTTGTTGTGTCACAATTGCTTGCAGTCACGTTCCAAGTTCAATTATTACTGTCATTGCACAAATAAAAAATGAATTCTCTAAGCTTCTACCACCAACTCTGAACACCCCTATCATTCATGTTTTGTACCACAGACTCTTTTCCTAAATTCATCCCACCTATGGCAAACCTGATGATATCAGGCTTGCAAAGAAGTTAAGAGTGAGAAGCTTTTGTTCCAGTTGCTTTTCAGATCAGAACCAAACTTAAGTAAATCTACTTGTGTCCCCTTATAATCACTTGATACCCTTACTAGAGGCATCCCATCAGCTTGCTGAAAAACTGGTTTACAGGATGCTTGTGAAAATGAATTTGATTAAGCAGACTTTTATCCCAGGTACTACATTTCAAATTTATATAGAAAACTTCCATTTCTGGCAAGGATGTTTCAGCTGGGATGTTCCAAGTTATTCATGGAAGAATTGAGATTTCAAACCTTCCTGTTTTTATTTTAAGTTTCATGGGGGTTTTGTTTGTATTTTTGTTTACTTTTGCCATTACTCCAGTCAACCTCACCCACCAAAGGAATCCTCTTCCCTAAACAGAAAGTGAAATCTGATGAAGTAAATCTGTCTTCAGACATTCAGATTCACCCTGTTTTGTCTGGAGGCTTTTCCCTCTATTAGTAGTATATGGAGCAGGCCAAGGCTCTCTCATAATAAGTGACTAATTATCACTTAAGTACAAGGGAACGGATCTATTCTCAAAGTAAAATTCATAACTCAGTGCAGTCCAGATATTGTAGAATTAAGGGATTGCGAAAACGGATCGTCATCCTCTTTAGAACAATGTTTTACACATCAGATGACTGTTGTTATGTCCTCCCTTAGTCTTTTAACTATTTCCAAATATGGAAAAAGTTTGTTATAAAGAGGGAGGATGATCCAATGGGGAAAGGAGAGAGGAAAATGTCTTAATTTGCAACAAAGAGGATTTAGATTGTTGCTCTCAGGTTTTGTTATACATAGGAAATGAAGAACTGTCTGCTAGTAGTGAAAAATGCAATTTACACTTCAGAGACAGGATGCACTGTAGAGTGAACATGAATCCTGTTTTTACAGGGACAGTCTCATTTTAAACACCTGCCCCAGGAGTCCTGTCAGTTTCTTCAAATGAACATTTCTATCCCATTTTCAGAAACCTTCCAGCCAGAGAAGTAGGTGAGGTTTTTGAAAATGGGACAAAAGCATTCATTTGAAGAATCCAATGAGACCCCTGGACCAGGGTCTTGCCTCCACCCTGTCCTCCATTCCCGCCTGCCAACACCATCACCAGCACATTCTTTTGAGACTGGAGCTGCAGTGTGCTGAAGAGTGGGGGGCATTTTAAGATCCCATTCTAAGACTCAAGAAATATGGTCACCTTACTGTGATGCCAGGTAGCTTCTGCCCAAATCTGCACATTTTTCTTTACATTTCCAATCTCCTCACTTGCATGACTGTTGGCATTTTGTTTTACCAACTCAGTGTTTAAGTAGCTCTGAATTAGTTTGCTTTGAAAGACTGTTTTTACTCAAGTATTTTTTTTAATTCAAGAACTGTTTTGTATTCCTGGTGTGCACATAGTCATACATCTCTCTATACAATACTGTATTTTACCTCGGCACTCTGTCCTAGTTGGTGTACTCTGATATCCAGCACGACACTGGCATATATACGATCCTTGGGTATTTACACAGTCTCCACTAATACAAGGATTCTTCTCACATTCATCAACATCTGTAAAATATAGACAGTATATTTTTAGTAAGCCATTGGCTGGCAGATATTTATGCATGAAGAGTTATTTTATTAGTTTATTTTACATGTGCAAAACATGCTTTTTTTAATAAGACGTATTATGCAATACTCAGAAATTAGAAACATTCTTCCTCATCAGTGTAACTCTATGTTATGTGGAATTTCATATTTGAAAAGTTCTATACCAATATTGGGGATTAAGTCAGACAGTATTTTCTTAATAAATGAGCAAAGAGAGGTACTTAAATCATGTTAATCTGAAGTCAAATGGATAGTAGGGTAGACACACACATTATAGACTAACTGAATCAGCAAGATAGAGATGCACCTTACAGATTAACCAAATCTCTGATTCTCTGGATCTCCGATCATTTAGTCTGCAAGGCTCTACCCTGGTTCTTAATAATATTACTTTTTATAGCCATTTTAAACAAAAACCCTATTTCTGATTTTTTGTAGGAAATAAATGGGGATCATTACCTCACATGGGGAGAAAACAAGACAAAGCAAATCTAGCACTGTCTGACTTACAGAGTACAAGGAAAACCACATACCAATGCATTCGCCTCTAACATCTAGTTGGAATCCCTTATTGCATTCACAGCGGTAGCTCCCAGGAGTCGGAATGCAACGCCCGTTAAGGCAGAGATGTCGGTATAGCTGGCAGTAGTCAGTGAAATTAACTGGCAAGATCACTGAAAAGAAAGCATTAAAAAATCAGATTAGTAGTTTATCGTCCTAATTTTCTTTAATGTACAAGTTGTACAGCATTTTGCATTCAAAGCCAACACCTACCTTACATCACTGCATATGCTATAGAATAATTATTGTAACACTAAGCATAAGAAAACAGTGCCTGGTCTCTGACTGAGGCCTCTGAGGATAGCTGGTAGAGGCTGTCTTTTCATGGTAACAGATGTAATTCTGATTTCCATTCCTCCACAATAATACATTAAGAGCTAAATTCTGCCAAACCCATGGAGATATATAAAGAAGAAAACAGGCATATGATATGGTATATATGGTAAGGGCCATTACTAAAAGGTTGGCATAAGCCAACAGCTACCACAGAGTAAAACAATACTTCACATAAAATGTCTCCACTTTCATAAGTAGAAATTGGACAGATACTGAGCCCAGACAGTTGTGGTAACTATGTTTTCAGTTGACAAGTGTCTACTGCAAGCTGTGCTGGCACTCTGCAACCTAGCTCAGGTAAGGTACAGAACAGGGTACACAAAGACCCTCTAACAAGTCTGAGCTTGTCCCTGCTTCCTCTTGCTTCAAGGCAACCGTTCTTTTCAAGGAACACTTAATTCTCTCTTCACCCTGGCTCAGGTTGCTCTGGCCAATGCACTGGCATAGCTGTCTGCCCCTGCCCCATCTAGCTAAGCAGGAGTGGAAGCCACCACCAGGCAGAAGTTGCTCTTTCCCATGAAAGGTTTCCAAAATGAGTAACAGGCACGGGCAAGGAAGGGAACTTCTTGTACTCAGTGCTCCCGTGTGCAAATATGCATCACAACTGAGCCATAAAATAATAGTGACACTCCTCCCTCAATCCTGCCATAAATAGGATTTAGGACTGTATTCTAACTGAGCAGGGATAATGTTATAGATCAGTAGTTCCCAAACTCTGACCGATTGCTCATCACTAATTTAAAATGATACAACCTTAAGTACCATCAGCAAATTTTTCAGTTCAACCTTAAGTACCACCAGCAAATTTCTGTCATATAAAGTAATTATAATAAATCTGTTAATGCATACCACTGACAGGCTGTCTGCGTACCACTGGTGGTACACGTAACACAGTTTGGGAACCGCTGTTGTAGATGACATACAATTGCCACAAGGGGTTTGGTCACAGAAAAAGATGCCATGGCTACCCAAAAATCCCAGTGTATTTTGTAACTGGGTAAGGTAAGGTCAAAACTCTAGCAGTATTGCTGAGCAAACAGCTCCTGAGAATTTAGAGCTTTAAAGCAATACCTGCAGCCTGGTGCAGAAAAAAGCTAACATATTTAACTCTTACCATGTGGAGGCGGAGCCCGGGAGGGAAAAGCAATGTCTGGGCGTGGTAACATAGGCTGTAGTACACCAGGGAGGACAGGAGGATAAACAGCAGGAGGAACAGGACCAGGAGGGATTATAATAGGAATGGTACCATCAGGATGGGAGGGAGGAAGGTCAGGTCTCCTAGGCACAAGTCCAGTTACTGTGCATAACTTGCGAAACTCCTCTGAAACAGGAAAACAAAAGCACCAGCATTTTAAAATGATAAAGCCATTTTGTTGCAAACCACATTTCTTTTTAACCCACTGCTTCGTTCTGGAAGAGTAAATGCCAACCAGCCTCTTCAGAAAGGGGGGCTAAGGGAATGTATTTCATGACAAAGGACTTCATTCTGCAAATCAACCTCCTAGTCCAAGGCAGAATTTAGTAGATTCAATGACAGAACAGCTACAAAGATAATATGACACTGAAAACCTCCATTTAAAAACCAGGAGGGGGTAGCAGGGAGCCAATCAGGATCTGCTTACTGAGCACTCTTATGAAAAACACTTGCTGAACAAAAGGACCTTTGCCTGAGTAAGGATTTTTTCTCGTCACCTATATTAAAAAGAAACTAACTGGAGCAGGTAAAATGGAGGACTTCTAGGTTGGGTGAAGGAACAGAGAACTTAATATATTAAACAGTAATTAACTTGTATTGTTTAATTTAGAGGAGGGAAAGAAGGTCAAGAAGGGACTTTATATAAATATATTCAAGATATGAATATCAGGGTGGGAGAAGAGTTATTTAAGTTAAAGAACAATATTAGCATGAGATCAAATTGCTACAAACTGACAGTAGCATAACTGAGGGGGAGCAACTGGGACACCAGCTCAGGACGCTGCCTTTATAGGGGTGGCCGAAGAGCAGCTATTTTCACAGTGTCGGCTGACCGCACTGCCACAAATCAGCATGGGAGCAGCTGGTACTGCCTCCAGCGCGGAGCTGCGCTGCTATGCCTCTGCAAAGCGGTTATGAACAAATTAGAAGTTAGAGGACTTGTAACTATTAAAGGAGCGAAGTTTTGAAATATTCTTTCAGACAAAGAACTCTAGATCCTTTAACTAGCCCAAGTGAACCTAAAGCCTACATAACTTCAGTGATTCGCATGACTCCTACCATGAGTGGCTCTTCAACTTTCCACCTGTGGCTCTTCAGAAAAATTGGTATTTCTAGGTGCATATCCTGGATACAGCTTTCCTGCAAGTTCTTGTATTTTTCCATGTTGACTGAACAAGCGTTAACTAACATATTATCTTTTTTTTTTTTTTGAATGGGCGCATGGTTGACACAGTTCACCAAAGATCATACGTGGTACTTTGACTACTGGGTTAACATTGATGGTTCCTGAGCCAGTCCAGGGTAAGTGTCACCTGAGGCTATAAACAGATGTTATCCTTAATTGGGTGACAGACATTGCCCGCTGTCCTGATTTAGCGTGCAACTGCACAATAATCCACCTGGGGAATCCCATGCCTGAGAGTTCCCCTATTTGCACCTGACCAATCTTGGGGATGAATTTCCAGGGCATACAGGACTGGGCTCCTGAAGCTTGGGTGGCTGGAATGAGCACAGCTCTGGGCTGCCTGCACTCTCCCACCATAAAGCAAATAGACACAATACAAGAAGCATATATTTTTGCAACCTAGTATCATGGCCACAATTTTGGATATTTGTGGTGCAACAAGGGGCATGGAAATCATTTTATGGTGAGATAAAGGTGACATCTGTTTCCAGCCTCATGACATAAATGACCAAATTTTGTAATCAGCAAAGAGATTTTGCAGGACGTTTCTATATACAATATATTAGTATAACTGATTATCACAATTAAAGGCCACATTTTCAATCCAATAAATCCTGGCCACAAAACGTGTGGATATGAGTGTGTATACACATATATATACACACACACACATGTGCATGGCAGGAATCATGATTGTGGGATTGTGAATTATATCCCATTATTCCTTATTGCCAGTGAAGGAGGAGCCTTGGATTGTGATCACACACCTTCATGGCATGGGGTACCCCCAAAACAGGTAGCCCTGTTAGCTGGTGGGGCTCCCAGCCATGGGGGCTGGGAGCCAGCATCATTTGGGAGCTCCCAAGCTCAGGGATGCACAAGGCCCCACTCCCCCTCAGCTAATGGCCTCATAGGAAGCAGCTACAAAGTTACTACACAATCTTGTGGAATAACTTTGTAGCTTCTTCCTCCTTTTTTTCCAATTCATTGTATGAAGGTGTGGCCACACACACACACACACACGCGCGCGCGCGCGTGTAAAATCTGCACATATGTCAAGCAAGGAAGTACTGTTGCATTCAATTACTTTCAACTTACAAATCTGAAATTGAATTGTGTCACTGAAAATTGAAAACTGAAATGATAAGGCTTTGCTTTAAACTTACAAATGTGAAAGCTTAGGGCACAAATGAAAGGATATAATGAAAAAATATGTTAAGAGATAGCCTTCCTTCCACAGAAGGTTTTGCAAATTATTTTCAGTAACTGCAAATTATAACCAAATATGAAGGATATTGTTAGGTCAATTAAAGTGAATGATTTGGCCCTAGTAGCCTCATCTCTGCTCTATTATCTATATACACAGCACTATTATTTATCAGAGAAGAGGTGTAAAATATAAAATTAAGATTTTATTTTTCTGTCAGAGAAGGACATCTACATTGCAGCCTCTCTCCAATTCCTTACCTGAATATTCAAATCAGCAACTGTAGTCCAAATCTCCTTTAAAAAATACCAAAGTTAAAGTACCCTAATATAGGTGCCCATTATAAAGAATCTGTCTTTGTGAGTTAATCTTTGAAGTTTTTTTGTACTGGATACTATTTTTGCAAAGAATCACTGTTTAGAGAAACCCATTTCTGTGAAAAAAAACCTAAGATAGAAAAACTGCATAAATCATCAGACCACTTTCTGAGAGGAAATTCTGTATTTTCAAGATCTGGTGTTGTAACTCAAGAGAGTAAAATGTAACCCATGTCTGGTCCAACCTCTATTCATCAAAGCAATTCATAGTCTCATGTGTTAGCCATCTACCAATGGTGTCAGTGGACATTCAGGAAGTGTTTCAGTGAAAACTGGACACACTAGGTTAGACACTTGGAATACCAGGTTTAAATTATAGTTTTAATGGTGAATCTTGGCCTTCCATATAAGCATTATTGCTGCGTTATGCAATAAAATATGGTACACGCCTTTGTTATTACAGCTATAACCTCTGCCTATAATTTCCAGCAATAAACAGCCTATTTTATAGTAACATCTGTGTGAGGGTCTGCTGCCCACATGGAAAAAGGGGCTGCCCAGTGACATCATGCAACCAATGATACACTTTGTAACACAATAAATTTCCAATTTAAACTTGCAGAGCCTTGGTCATTTACATCACTTACAGCCCTAAAATCCCTAAGGTAGGCACACTTTTTGGACATGTTTAAGAATCATCAAGGAACTAATAATAATAGTTATGATAAGGCTTTGCCTAAACTTAAGGGCTTTCATCAGTGGATTCCAAAGCACTTTTAGAAACGCAAGAGAAATTTATAACTCAAGATGGAGAAAATAAGGCACATGTTCAAGGAAGCATGCTCTGGAGGAGCTAGCACAGGTTTGAGTCTCAGGAAATCCTGAGTTCCAGTCCTGAGGTTGGCCTCAGTCTCAAACTGTGGCACTAGAAAAATCCCTTTTCTGCATCAGTTTCCTTAGCTGTTAAATGGAAATAGGTTGCCAAAAAAGAACAGAGTGGTTTAAAAGTAAGACTCCCCACAGCTTCTCCCTGGCTTGGAAACAGTGATCCTACAGTGCTCTCCTCTGTTGGTTGGTGCAGTGAAAACTCCTCTCCTGTTTAAACTGGTTTGGTCACTGGGAACTGTAATATTATCTTAATACAATTCTTAACACTATCTTCCATAATGCTTTGGACATATCAATTCTATATAAATAGCAAGCATTGTGATTGTTGTTGCTATTGTAACAGTGACAGAGCCAAGAACAGAATACAGGTCTTCTGGCCTTAGTCCCCTGCTCTAAAGACCATGCTAACTCGTTCTTTTGGTAAAACCACAGGAATAATAAACATTCCCATATAGTACTGTGTACTCAGATTCCCATCCCCCACCCCTGCTTTATATTGCAATGGAGAAAGATGCCATCCTGATTCCTTCCCAACCTCTTAACTTTTTACCCAGTTTGAGCTCCCTTCCCACAATCTTCCTTGAGACACTTGCTCTCTTTCTTTCTTCCCAATTTCCCAGTAGCACTTCTGCTCACCTTTCCTCTTAAATGCCCTCCAAAATATCCCCCTTCTGTTCCTTCTTACCTGGTTCCACAACCCACTTTCAACCTCTCAAGCCCTGCCTGGCTGGGCCCTGTGCTCTCAGTGCACTGTGAAGCAAATAATCTCAGAACACATTTCAGTGACAGTTATGCTCTGCCAAAGGCATTGCATTGTTTCAATGAAAGTATTCTCACGACTGCAGGCCTTTGGAGAGAAAGAGCTAAAAAGGAAGGTTAAAGAAGGTGAGACCTGAGGACAACTGGAAGATCATGCTAAGAGGAAAGGCCTATGAGAGAGATATGAAAGAAGAAAACCACACCCCTTGGAGAATTTGGGGAAATGAGCCTCAGTGAGATGAAGTTCAATGTCAGAAGTCTGCTTGCACTAGACATAATCCTTTTGATACAATTTCACCCCAACCTAACCTCCAAATGTTAGTCTCAGAACAAATTCATAGAATAGTTAAGTGCTGAACTATTATTCTAAGAGTACAAGCTGATCCATACCTGTAGATCGGATTGGACACATTTCAGGGGCACTGGTTGCTCCCGGAGACCAGCATCGTCCGCTGTCACAGCAACACTGCATTTTAGTTAACGCCTGTGGAAGCTGATTGCCGCAGCGACCATTTGTCAGAGAAGAGAAGCAGTATCCAGGACGTACATCTGTCGGGAATAATGAAATGTACATGTAACTATCAATCCCATGACATAACTTTGATTATAAAACAAGTATCTGGTGCTCTTAATCTGTTCTCACAGAAAACACACAGGTTTTAATTTGTGCATGATGTTAATGAGCGATGCAGAACAAACAAACAATATATGAAATTTAGTTCGTTCAAGGTTCATCACAAATTCAAAACCTGAAGTGACTTTACCAACCAGTCTATGTTGACAAATCTTGCCACTTTTTTTAAAAGTCTCATGATATTTAGAGTTTTACCTAAACCCCCAGCTCCTAGTCATGTGATCAGATAAAAATTTTGGTGTTCATTAAAAGCCCCTTAATTTCTAGTCCTCGTGCTTGCACAGAAAAGCATGACAAATGCGACCATAAGAACTCAAAAACATCAAATACATGAAAAGATTCCAAAATGTTGTGGTGTTTAAAAATTTCACCATTTTTAAATCAACTCATGATATTACAAATCACAGAAAAATGGGGCTGAAAGAGACCTCAGGAGGTCACCTAATCTAATTCCCTGCTCAAGGCAGTATCATCTCTGGGTAAACTATCCCAGACAAATGTTTGTCTAACCTGCACTTAATAACTTCCAAGGATGGAGATTTTGGGAGGCCTGACTCATGATTTGTGAATATTTGGGCTTGGCACTCCTTAGATATTCACAAACTTTCAAGCCAAGTTAGGCACAGTTTGGAGTCTTCAAACCTCTTGCAGATTTATAGTTTCACTTCAAAACCAGATGAAGTGCAGTAATTTTAAATTAGACTTGTTTTGAATTTTCAGACATGCTGAAACCTGTAAGCCAAAGCAAAGCTCACACCAGAAACAAACCCTATGGAAACTGGAACAAAAAGGAAAACGTCTAAGGAAAGTCTGTGAAGTGAAGACAGACCTTGTAATAAGAGTCCCATGCTGTACTAAAACAATAAATGTATACCAGACAATGAAATAGGGAAGAAAAAAGTGAAAGAAAAAGTTTATTCAACATCTAATAAAACAGACTTCAGTGACCTGACAAAAAAATGTTGTTGTCCTATAAATGTCAATGCTATTAAAGACAGTATCAAGCCATTGTTGTTTCCACTTTGATGCACAGTAAGAAACTTCTCATGCTACAGCTCCCACAGCCATGCATTAATTAATTTTTTTCATTGTGTCTATCTTCCTCAGCTGAAGCATGTCATGACTGAAATGTCATGGACTACAGGGCAAGAAAAAACACCACAACTCAAATGGGTGCCATCACATTGTTTATGGAGATGTGTTGGCTTCATATCTAAAGTGAGTTGGATGTGCTGTATAAAGAATCTCCCATACCCAAATGTCATGCACGCGGCTCCAATAATATTTTACAAATATCTCTCATCTTACAGGTGGAAAAGAAGAAAAAAAAAGCCTTTTAGAAGTCTGTGATACAATCTGATTTCTGAGCAACTCTTTCGCGATGTGTCACATGATGTCAAGCTTAATGTAACAAGCACAAGTATGATTAGACGCTGCATGATAAACCAGATTGTGTTCGTTTTTAAAGTACAAGAACATTTATTGTCAAAACTTAGAAGAAAAAGGTTGCAGATGTAACCTTATGTCAGCATGAAGCATTCCTTAAAGAAACAGTGTCTCAATTATCTGAGACATGGCAGGTTTTTTGTTGCCAGCATCTCTATTATCCAGAGCTTAGCAGATATTCCAAAGGGTATAAAAAGCCAAAGAAGATTCTTATCAAGATCTTTACAAAAATAATATGCTAGAAGAGCCTGCAATTGTTCTGCAAAAATAATATTACTGACACTGCAAGTAACAAAGGCAGCTGGGTCTTTGCTTCAAAATTTTAGGGCCAAAAAAGAAGGCTCAAACAGAAAATCCAACATAATTCAGTTTTTATTTTAAAGAAGAGGTAGAAAAAGATTCAAACTTTTAACTTTTAGTTTTTTAATTGAAAAAAAAATCAGGATGTTTTGGGAAAGCAAGAATTCTTCAGGAAAATTCCTGTTTCCAATATCACAGCTATTTTTTGTTGAAGATAAGTTTTGCGTGTAAAGTTTAGACAGTGTAGGTGTACAGCAACTGTACATCTCTACATCACATATGTTAGTTAAGTGGGAAGACCAGGGCAGAACATCTCTTCAATTTTTCAAAGATACAGAGTGCTTTTTTACTCTAATATTACAGCTTTTTAACAATGGAAGGCCCACCTCCTCAGGATTTTTGGATCCGTGTCTCCTTAGCTCCAGTCTCAGAGGGGGACATTCTCAGAAGCCACTTCCTAATTTCTAACAGAATAGATGCATTTAGCTACTGCTTTTCACTTGCAGATAGACACATCTAACCTTGATTTAATTAGAATATTTTATGCAGCTTTAGCAAAGACTTTGGTTTCAATCTTGTTAAAATTGCAGGTGGCTGCTCATTTCACCGGGCAAGCAGAGTGGGAGGAAGGTAGCCAGGAGCTGGAGCCCCATACACTGGGGCAGGAGCCGCCTGGGACCAGGAGCCCCTACTTCCCCCCGGAGCAGCTCAGCAGGAGGAAGAGATGGATGAGCAGCTGGAGGTGGAGAGAGCTGAGCACCAGGGCTGCGTGAAACAGCATCGTCTCGTTTCGACTTCCGTTTCAACAGGACAGTGTTTTGTTTCGAGTTTCATTCAATTTCAAAACCACTGTTCCATTTCATTTCATTGAAACTGTCTCAATGTTTCACCCATAGGATATAATGGGGAAGCATGAAACTTTGTCATTTCTTGCCTGATTTGAATAAAACTTGCAGGGATGGTAGCTCCTTCTGAGGCCATGAAGCCTGATGGGTTTCTGGGAAACTGCACCTCAAAGTCTTGAAAGCAAAACTTGTGTCACATGTGTGTATTAAGGCACAGTGGGGTGAAAACTGCAGGGATGGTAGCCGCTGCTGAGGCCATAGAGCCTGCCAAGTTTCAAGGAGATGGGTGCAGGGTGTTCTGGGAAACTGCACCTCAGGCTGCTGACAAGGAAAACTCGTGACACGGGTAACTGTGTGTGTTTTCCATCCCTCCCCCAGAGCACTGGGATTGGAAGGGACCTCAGGGAAGGATAACAGTCACTGGCCAGCTACACAGTCAATAATAAGAGCAGTCCTTCCCCACTCTTCCCCCTCCCTCTCCTTAGTTTCTGTTTCCCTGCAGGCAAGCCCAGCTTCAGCGTCGAAACTCAAAGCATTTTGAAACTTTCAAAATGTTTCAACTGCCATCGTTTCATTCAAGGCTGTTCTAAAGCCTTTTTCATTTTGATTTTGCTGTTTCGAGCTCGAAACAAGTCAAAACGAAACAGCCAGTGAAATTTCGCACAGCCCTACTGAGCAGTATCTGGGAAGAGTAGGAACTGCCCCGCTGGGAAGCTGAGTGTGCTGGCTGGGATCAAGGAGGTGCCATCAGCAGGCAAGGGGAGGGTGTGGGCAGGACTGCGCTATTGGCTGCCCTGGGTGGGAGGGGTGCAGCCCCCTGTGGAGCATTGGAGGGCTGCACCCCTCCCACCCAGGGGAGGCTGGATCCAGCCCATGGGCTATATTTTGCACACTCCTGCTTTGGATACATTGAATCTTAATGATAGCTGCAGCTTGACACTTCATGTATACTCTTTCAGGTCAGAACAAACACACAGTCACTAAACTATTTTAACCTGAAAATACAGGGGTTGAATGACTGGAAGTTTGGGAGCTTAAAGTTCTAATGAGGCTGATGGCTTTAAACAATTTTGATTTCACAATGCTTATAAAAACAAACAGCATAATCTGCACTAGGAAAGTGAGACCAATTCAAACTTGTAGCTAATGCTATCTCAAAGGAAAGCATGCATCTCATTGTTCATCTCTATAGCAGCGTGTATTGTATTCATAAGGAAAAATCAAAACAATAACTAAACATGCAGCAAGGTCATTAAGGAGCTATTTGGAGCTTTTGGTCTAAAGCAGGCAAAGCAATGACCAGCTGCATTCTGTACACTCTAAATGTCAGCTAACCTACACAACTAAATAACATGCTAGATAATGGAAGAGATACTGTTTAAGGGAAAGCACATCTAAAGATCTACAGCAATATAATGGCAACATTGAAAATGGATCATGTCCCAAGGTAATGTCTTTCCAGATGTCTAGGGAAAAGCAGTTTTTGCAGGAAAAAGAAAAATCACTCTCCTTTGGTATCTGCTTTTTAGAAATTGCTTTTGCTCCACTCCTTGCCAAATGATCTCTTATAAGAGGTACTAATGGGGGAGAAGGGATTTGTCTTATTCCTTTAGGCTGCTGAGTATATTAACATTGTAAATAAACCAGCTTAAACTAAGGGAATTTATTTTCTATTTAATTTTAAAATAACTATGAATGCTTTTGGGTTGAGGACTGATTAGATAGCAGCATAACAAAAGTGGATCAAACAAATTTTAGGTGGATATAAAAAAATATCTGACTTGCCTAGATATACGTGGATCTCATTCTCATTGCTGGACTTACCAACAATTCCCAAACACCCAGGAGATATGGCACATTGTATTCTTCCCAGAAGTAGTTGGTAAATGTAGGGTACAGTACTTTGGGGGTCATGACATCAAGGTGTGTCAGTTAGTGAGCTTGTTGTAGCAGTTTTCTGGTACCTTTTCTGGAATTGCAGTGGCAACATTTGGGATATTGCTTTGGGGCGTAATGAAAACAACACAATGCAAGGCCAGTTTGAAGGTCTATTCACTTGCCACTATCACTTGCCCAGAGGGATTTCAAGCAAGTGCCTATGTCTATGAAATACATTGAGTGTTATGCACTCTAAAGATTTCTACACAACATTCACAGCCACTGCTGTAACAAGTAGCGTTTCAGACTCACCTATACACCTTAAGCCATCAGGGGCTGTATAAAATCCTGGAGGACATTTGCAAAAGTAACTGCTAACTGTGTTTGAACATTCTCCTCCATCACAGATTCCAGGAATGGTGCTGCATTCATCAATATCTACAATAACAACAGAGGTATGATCAGCTTGAGTACACAGATCTAAGCATCAGAATGTTATCATATAATCATTTCTTATCATACAAGGCCAAATGCTGGGCTAACAACTCCACTTCAGTCAATCACCCTTAACATTTACGTTACAGTAGTTATTAGGGGCCCTGAAGGCTCCTTGCATGTTAAGCTTTGCCTTCATCCTAAAACAAACACTTAACATGTAAGAAAACACCACATCTTTCGAATTCCAAAAAGTCAGGGATTTTAATTTGTTAACCTGACACTTGATTTAAAATTGTCCAGAGAACTCATAGAGAATAGATAAACTGTAAATCCTCACATTTAAATTCAGTCAGTGCAATGGAGTTAACAATCTAATTTTAAGAAAACTTCAATTGCATCCTCAAGGACTAAAAATGACCAGGAGCTGCTTCTCATGCCTCTTAGTAACACCAGCAGCACAGCATCCTGTTAACACCAGGCGTGGACATTAGTTCAGTACTGACTCACAGGGAAATGTACCACCTCCACCACTTCTTATTGCAACTGGGTTTTTCTTGAAAACCTACCACGCAAGTATTGACTAGGCAGACTGCTCAGTTAAAAAGGTCTTGTAAAGCTAGAGTTCAAAGCAGGATGACAGCAGCCAATGAACACCCTCACTCCCGCTTTCCTCTTCATTAAGTGATCTACTTAACTACCACCTCTTTCCTTCACCAGTGCAATATTTGTTTGCAGTAAAGGTAATTATGAGCTACAGATTTCTAAAGATAAGTGGAAGTAAAAGCTATGGCAGAAGTGACCAAATCCCTCGTATAGTCTGTTATTCATTTTTAAATAAACAGTTCGCACAAAGGACACAGCTTGTAATGCATCTAGGGTTCATACACAGACATCTTAGTAACGGACCTTTTGCAGAAAACATTGCAATGCCAGCATAAAAGAATGGTACCACAAGCTTCCCTATACCTGATCTTATCTGAGGACAGAAAAAGACTGCAATGTTGAGGGCTCTATTCCCTCAACAGCAAGAAGCTTTTAACCAGGGATCCGGGTTTTCCATTTCCCATGGAAAAACAGAGAAAACCATGGATTTTCCCCTTTACTGGAGGAAAACATGGGTTTCTTATTTTACTGGAGTGACCCATGGATTTTGCACTTTTGCAAAGAGCTCTCTGCAGGTGGCAGAGTTCCAGCCTGCAGGGGCCTGGGGGGAGCGGGAAGAGGGTGGTTAGGCAGGGGCATCATGTGCATGTATATGTACATGGCTGCCAGACAGCCCAGAGAGCAGTTCCCACAGGTAAGTAGGGGCAGGAGGGAGCAACTATGGAACTGAGGCCCCCATAGGGAGGGAGGGAGTTGGGCAAGGCTGGGGCTGCTGCCCAGCCCAGTGCTGTATGGGGCTTGGGGCTGTAATGTGCAGCAGCAGGGCCCCAATGGAGAGCGTAATGGGGCTGCAGGCAGCTCATCCAGGTGGTGAATGGGGGGCCAACTCCCTCCGCTGTGTGTACTCCCAGGGGGTGGGGGGGGGTCTGTGCACGGGGCAGGCACAGGCTGCCCACTGCAGGCTCAGGTTCCCACCCTGCTGCCCTCCCCCGAGGCCTCCGGAGCTCAGTGGGTGCAACCAGGGCTGAAGGACACAGCAGGACTGCACAGAGATCTCCTTGCCGCTATGAGCTCTGTACTGCCCTGGTGAGGGGCCCCCTGTACATGCAGCAAGGGTGGATGTTTGGGGTTGTGCCCTCACTGCTGTCACACACGCAGGGGACGCCTCACCAGGGCAGTGCAGAGCTCACAGCGGCAAGGAGATCCCCCCATGGGCTTGCTGTACCCTGCAGCACCAGATTGCACCCGTCAGGCTGCGGAGGCCCCGGGGGAGGGCAGCAGCGCGGGACCCGAGCCCACAGCAGGCAGCCTGAGCCTGTCCCCACCCCACACACAGATCTGGGGGCCATGTCCCCCTGGCAGTGCACAGAGCGGCAGGGAGCTACTCCCCTTCCCCCACCCCGCCCTGAGCCAACAGCAAGCAGGCAGCAGGGAGGGGAGCTGGGTCCGTGCTCTGCTCTGCTTCAGTATCCACCACCTCCTGTCACGGGCAGGAGCTGTGCTCCTGAATCCCAGGCTCCATAACCCCAGGCCACTGGGGCCCCCCTCTGGCAGGGCTGTGAGTGGCAGCAGGCTGTGAGTTGGGGGGCGAGGGGCCTTTCATATTAATTATGGATTTGGGGGTTTTAGTCGGAGAATTAGCTATTTATCAGAGAATGTGCAATTTTTTATCACAGAAAACAAGGATCCCTGCTTATAACTCACAGTACCATGCCAATGCTAGCCTATGCCAGCCCCAATTGCTCCTTAACTGCTGGCAGCAGCCAGTTTTGTTTTCCAGTCAGTGCTCTCAGTATGCAGCTGGCACTACTAAACTTCTAGGAAGCTGCTGGGCACAAGGGCACAAGACAAACAGGTTTTTACGTGGTCTTCCACAGGTACTTGCACCTAAAATAAGACTAGCAAGCAGGAAAAAGCATCCTGGAGCTTTAAAGGCATGCTGCATTATGGCAGGTGTTTTGGGGATGCACTTGTCAGAACTTTTAACACTGGAATACAGTCCTCTTTACAATGCAAATCTAATAACAGATAATGGCACAAGAGACTCAGATTAATGAAAAAAGCCTGGAAAATATGTGAGTATGTCAGGGTTCAAATTCAACCTAATGAAGGAAATTAGCCTCAGGTCATTAACAACTGGAAGAGACAGTGCCATTCTGTGCGACAGAGGAAGACAAGAGAAAACAGCCCTGTGCTCTGTGTCTCTGTGCAGAACACAACAAGAATTTTATCATACTTTTCTTTATAGCAGCATTCCTCAAACCGAGTTACACAGCAAAATTCTAGAGAGTACATGAAACAAAAGAATAGTAAAACAGAAAACGGGAAAGGGGAGATATAAAGAAAAGATATGAGAAAGGAAAAAAAGAACAACTATAATGTCTCTCTCAGATGGCTGGAAAGATTATAAATGGGGAAGTAAGTCACATAAAGTAATCCTTTTTTTCACTGCATTCATAAACACAGAAATCACAGGATCTCACATCAGTATTATAAACTCTAAAAATCAGCATGTGGCACAAAAAGATTTGAGAACTGCTGCTGTGGATAGTTGCAAGCTGATATGCAACTTTTATCCACATGTACAGAGGAATCACCACTTCAGCCACTACTAAAACTTCTGGGATAGAATTTAACAATTGTTTAACAGCAACACCACACAACAGGCTAGGGCAAGGAGTGAAGAATAAAATTCTGTTAATTTAAAATGCTTGGGGGAATTTAGTGCAACACCCAAACTGGAATTCAGCCACAAGAGGTTGGGTAACACCCATTCTATGGTCCTTTAGGATCATCATTAATGAGCACAACTAGAAAGGGCCTCAACTGTACATTTCATTTGAGTGAAACCCAGAAAAACCCAACAGAACCCCCTCCCCATATACAAAAGCTTATTCATTTGTCTTCTTGCTGCCATCAGCCTGCAGAATCAGATGCCATAAACCAATTCCAAAGGCCATACCTATTGTGAAACTTCGTAGCAGAGTAAAGATCACTGAAAAAATATGACTGATTCTTTCCAAAATAACTGATACCTACTTTTGTCCCTTGAGAGTGCATTCTTCCTAGTATCTCAGTGAGCTGTTATGATGCTGGTAATATGGGCCACATTCCATGCATGGGTGTATGGGAGATGTGTGGTACTTAGAAGGTGTTGCCAAAGCACAGAGACTCCCTGGGAGCCTGCTCAGAGACTTTTGGCTTCTGCACCAGGATTATACTGCTCCACAGGAGTCCCAAAAGTCTCAGCGACAAAACATGTGGAAATTGAATTTTGGGCTGAACAGAGCCCTTAATTAACAGAGAAAAATGTAGTTGTAAATGGATCAGATTCAAGTATCTTCTGACTCAAGTTTGCCACTGTTTATCTTATAGTCAGTATTGCCATTGTTTATAAAGTCTGACCTTTTTAAAAGCAAAATCACCACTCTTTATTTTAGGGTTGAGCCTAACCCAAACAGCATTGCACTATTTATATTACTGTTCACGTTACTATAAACACCATTGTCATTGTTGAACAAGTGAGTTTTATAAAGGTAAGTGTGCCCACTGTGCTTACAGATGTGGATGTCATTGCAGGAAGAATTACCTTCATCAGCACCAAAATAAAATAATCTGGCTTAGTATTAGCAAAATTGAAATAGCAATTGATGCCACAAAACAGTGAAATATCTAACGGTTAATGCTCAAAAACCATAGTTAAACAGTGAAAAATCTAATGGTTAATGCTCAAAAAATATCTAATGGTTAATGCTTCCATCACCTGTGCTGGTAAATAGATCTTTGACTTCCTAGCTTGTCCTCTGGTCTCATCATTTTTCAAACCCTAAGAAGGGTCAGACATGAGCTCTACTTGGAAGGAAGGCCTCCAAGAAAAAGAAGCAGGTGCTGCAAGAAGAAGCATGATACTGGTGATTCAGGAGGCTGCTAAGCCAGAAGATCTATCCAGCAGACAGGACACAGAAATGAGGACATGACCAGATCTGTACTGAGGCTCTCAGAGGGCCTCCTGAAATTCCAAACTGGGTAAAATACACTGGGATTGCCTAAATTCTCCCTTTGTTATTTTAAACTGTTGTGTAAGTATGCTGTAAACTTTAAATAACTATCCCATTCCAATCCAGAGGGTGGTAGAGTGTTAGCCTTAATTATTTTATTGCAGTAGCGTTTAAAGGCTCCAACTAAAATCAGAGCCCCTCTGTGGTACACATTACATAAACACTGACTAAAAGCAAGTCCAGCGTCCATGGAATCAGAAGTTCTATGGGCAGGGATCTTTGGTCTAGCAACAGTAAGACTTTCACAAAGAAATTAAAGAGCATTTTACTGCATATGTAGCAAGTCCACGGCAGGGCTTGAAATGAAACCTAGATAGGGTGAGTCCCTGCCTGAACTAC